AAAAAAAAAGCATATAAAATACATCACTAATACTTTTATGTTGATTATGTGTTGAAATAAAAATTTAAAACTAAATATAAGATATTGTTAGATTTTATTCTTCCTGTTTAAATTTTTAAAAAACACATATGATTTATGTATCTATTGGACTGTAATCTTAATAATTAACAATGAACTATTATCAGTTCATTTAAAAAATATTAATATTAACTCCATTTCCAAGGGGGAAAAAATGAGGTCACCTGGTGAAACTGGTAAGAGGCAGATTGGAATCTGCAGCCAGTCTATCCGGATGTGTCTTTGTTCCCTGCTTAACTCCCTCCCTGCTAAGTACTAGAAGACACAGAAGTAGAATCCAGAGGTAGGAGCCCTGTGAACCTTCCAGAAGTTTCCAGTAGGGTAAGAAACAAAGCTGGCAGATAGGAGAGAGACCTGCCCAGAGTTTCTGAAATCCATCAGATAAATCATGAGTCCTCTCATTATTCTATTTGTTCTCTGACAACACACTTAGAAGTCAGTCCCATCAAGATAGAAAATAAAAACAGACAAGCCTGCCATCTTTTGGAGGGACAGCATTCCTAGGATGCCAAGCATCCCAAAGCTTGTTGTTTTTGCCCCTGTGGAATGGGCTCTGCTAATATTCCAGGATGTGAAATGTCTCCTGCCTGGGCAGGGCCTGGCACTGGCAAGGGCAGGAGAGAAGCAGAAAAACTGTGTGTGTGAAGGACAGTCCTGTTGAATGGAGACGTCTCTGTGCAGTCAGAGAGCTTTGGTTAGGTCACAGGTCTCATGGGATTGCACGCTGGGAACTTAAGGCCTGTTGGAGTCTCACTGGGAAAATTTCAGAGGCAGCTTCAGTCGGGCCCCTGCAGGTGTGGCTGAGTTGCAGTGCCAAAACAAGATTCGACTTTTCTCTCCCCCAGACAAACAAACAAACCACAAAGGTAAAGGAGCACACATGGTCTCCTGATTTGGGAGGCTGGGTCAGGTGAGGTGGTGGTGAATCCACTCTCCTGGGTGTTTATTTATTGCTTTGTGCATTAGCCCATATTTCTAATGCAATATTGGCCTCAGGGCTCAGGCCCAGACTCAGCTTGTCAGCACTGTTCCAGCTGGTGCCCAAGAGGCCCAAGGTGCAATAATAGTCCCTGCTCCTGGGAGCAACAACCTGCAGGGGACGTCCCCCTCACATTCCTCCTTGCCTCACCCTCCAGGGCTGCCGAGTCGGGCCCCTGCATGACTTCCCTCCCTCTTCTCAGGTGGCTTTGGAGGGGTGAGTGTGCCTTGACCCACCCTCCTCTACTCGGGACACAGAGAGCAGAAAACCCTAGTGATTTAGAAGCGCCTGGGCTTTGAAGGCCATCTGACCTAGGTCTTTCCCTGACCAATTCCTCACTGTGAAACAGAAGGATCATCTCTATCTGTCTCAGAGAAGGATGAATGGGATAATATGTATAGTGTGCCTTGTGCAGTGCCTGGTATGATATGCTCAAAGTAAGATTTATTGTTATTTATTTGTGCATTACAAACCCATATTATAGTATGAGGTTCTCTGGGAAAGTGTATCTGAAAGGAAACACTTGTCACTCCTCACTCTGACCTTCACAGGCTTCGGGGAGCTGGGAGTCGGTTGAGGTCCCAGGTCTTGTAGTCTGATTTCCAGCCCAGCTTCATTACTGCCAGCGAGGTGGACTGGGCAGGTGAATTTCTACATTCTTCCATCTTCTCACATGGCAGATGGCAATACCCCTCCTCTCTAGGATCACTAGGAGGACTGCCTGAGTTAGTTTAATGAGGACCTTAGATTGGTACCTGGCAGAGTTTAGCACTACAAACAAAACAAAATAAAACACAAACCCAATATGTCCCTTGAGAGAGGCACTGTCATTTTTATTCCGGCTTTGACACCTCTTAGGGGAAGTGGGTGTGAGGGGGCCCAGGCCACCCAGATAGGTGCCGGTGAAAATCTCCAGGCTCGCCCTGAACCTGGGGCATGCTCAGGCTGTTGGTTTTCTACCAGCTCCCATCCGAGTTCTGCAAACGAATGATCCGGAGATTCCAATTAAAGGTCCACACAGCTCTTACATCCGTTCCTAAAAGTCCTCGGAGCTAGAAATGTTGAGTGAATATTACTTCAATGCCTACTCAGTGAAGCCAACCAAGAAGGTAAGGAAAACCAAACAAGATAGAGTCCCCCTCGCTTGGCTGTTACAGGGCTTCTGAAAGGCAGCTGGCCCTGTCCCCCTTGGTCTTCATATTACCACAGCTAGGTCTGGGGCCTCTGGAGGAATCCAGACATCTGTTTCTCCAATCATGTTTCTAATGGGATTGTTTTCATTGTCTAAAATGATCCCTTCTCCTGCCCGTCCCCCTAAAACAATGATTTTCCTCCTCTTCCCCAGACCTTGCTTCGAGGCTCGCTCTGCTCATGGGAAGGCCCCCTGCACAGTCCCCCTCCCTTTCTGAACGAGTTTCCTCAGCCACCAAGCCTCACCTCTGCAGCAAAAGTCTGTAGCCCAGGTACTCTCTCTCCCACATCTGTAATTTGCAGCTAATGTCTGATCTTGGGTCTGGGATCCAAGCATTGTGTATTTGTTCTTCTTTAAGCTCCCCAGAAGATTCTAATGTGCAGCCAAGTTTGGGAATGCAAGGCCAGGACCAATCTTTTCCGACTGTCATGTGCATATGAATCCCTTGGGACTCTTACTAAAATGCAGTCTGAGCCCATCTGGGGAGGGGCCTGGGATCCTGGATTTCTATCAAGCTCCCAGGCCAATTTTAAGCATCTGGGAAGTCCCATCTCCCAGATGGGAAAAACAAGAGCCAGTGAGGAGAAGTGGCTTGCTTGAAGGGACTTGGACATAGGTCTTCTGACTCCAGTGTTCTTTTTGTGTTTTTTCATAAATAATAATAATAGCATATAAACACTAAGAACATGGTGAATGACAGAAGAATTTTTTCAGTATTCCTCATTTTATTGCTTTTTCCTGAAAAGTGCTCAAACAAGACCTTTGGGTGTGTGTGATAATATATCATTTGTAATATGTTGGTAATAATTCTTAGAGTATTTCTATATGATTAATAATCTTTATATCATATTTTGGGCGGGGGTACCAGGGATTGAACTCAGGGACACTCAACCACTGTGCCACATTCCCGGCCCTATTTTTGTATTTCATTTAGAGACAGGGTCTCACTGAGTTGCTTAGCGTCTCTTTTTGCTGAGGCTGGCTTTGAACTCATGATCCTCCTGCCTCAGCCTCCTGAGCTGCTGGGATTACAGGCATGCACCACTGTGCCTGGCTTTTTATCACACTTATATAGCGTTTTAACATAATTTAATTTGGGTACTTTGCGTCATGCACCATGTCTGGTGTTTCTTTTGTACTATTGCATTTACTCTGCCATGCTATGAGGTAGGTATCATGGTCTCTTCTATTTTTAAAAGAAGAATAAGGCTTATGGGCATAAAATAAATTGCCCTCTGCTAAGTTGTGGAGCTGGGGTTTGAACCCAGGACCTGTCCACAAGGTTGTATTTATTTTAAGCAAGTCTTCCTTCTTGGTTCCTCCTCAAGGAGCCAGAAATAGTTTTCTCCTCCTGGGCGTCTCCCCCAGCTCCACTCTAAGGACAAGGGGCTGAGCTGGTTGTTCACCAGAAGAGCACAGAGATGGGTACATTGCCCTGCCCTAGGTCGGTCTGTCTGTGTTTCTGTTTGTCTGTCTGCCTCTGCTGCTTTCATCAGTGCCCATGGGCACCTGCTCTGCCTCGTGTGCTCATGGTCACCCCTGCAGGGCACGCTGTTCCTCCACAGGAGTGCGCTGGGGTCCCACGGCAACCTGGAGCCTTCCAGCTGCCTGGTGACTTGCATGTGACTACATGCAAGTGAAGCTGTCAGGATCTGGGCCTTGTGAGCTGCAGGACAGTTGGACATACAGGACACACGGCAAGAAAACCACCGAGGCCTTGGGTAGCCCCTGCAGATCCTGTACTACTGAGTGCCCGGGGCTTTCTTGCCCTGTCTTTGCTCCTTGATGCAGTAGAGCTGCCTTCCTCTCAGCGGAGGGTGTGGAACCATCCCTGATCCCTTCACCCAAGGAGAACGAGGGGGGGAAACCAGTCCTACCAGTGGCCTGAGCTGGTGCTGTGAGGTCTGAGGTAGGAGACCGGCTCCTGTCCTGTTCTGTGGGCCACCTGCAGCTGCCTTTGCCCCTCTTTAGTCCTCTCTGTCCCCTCCTGTGTCCTCCTGTGCTCTCAGTGTAGACTATCAGATCTGCCAGGCAAGTTCAGTAGTTCTCTGTCTTCTAAGTGACTGACCGGTCCCCTCACCAACTGGATCAGAAAATCTGGAGTTGGCACCTAGGCATCTGGGCTGTTTTGTCAAAGTTCCCAGCTGATTCTGAAGAGCATATCAAGGCAAGACCCACACCTCCAATTCCATATGAGCAAGCAGAGCTCAGTGACTCTCCCTACTTGCCCAGAGTTAATTGAATGCCCTTGATTCTCACCTGTCTCTT